GCCCCCCCCCCTCCCCACCCTCACCCCCACCCCCACCCCCATCCCTCGCCAATCGGCCGATGGAACTTTTTACTCACGGCGCGCCACACGATTTCTGACCCACATATTAACCGTTAATTAATTTCAAGGGATCGCAACGCCGAGGTGGACAGGGAAGCGATTATTATTATAGCTTTTCGATCGACGGCTTCTGTAAAGTAGATCACTCTGACGATATTCTTGTATGAACATTACGAAATGACCAAAGTAGAGAGGTTTGAGCGTGTGCGTTGAGAGATACCATTAGACTTTAATAGCATTCCATCTGTAATTATCTTGTATTTTACGCATGTATGTTGAACCGTTTGTTAATATTTAAATGTACTTACTTAGGTGGATTTAATCTACGTCGAGCTAAACTTGATAATAAAATAATGTAAAAATCTATCCTTTATTTTGAAAAATTTTTCCATCCAATGCGTATGGTTCTGCGTATGCGAGGCAATTAAACAATTACAGCGAATTTTCAATATGTCATTAGAGTTATTATTAGTCCATTATTATTTAGAAATGTAAATTTATTAGAATGTGCGAGTTGTGTGAAATAGAATAGAGCGAAATGGAACGAGTTTCTTATTATCATCTTTATAATCCATGTGTATTATAATAATATAATTTCACATGTTGATGCTTGGAAATAAATATTACCATTGAAAAATATATGCAGCTTATATAAAAATTTTTTACAACTATATCTGTTTTTTTTTAATAAATTCAACTTCTTTTAATGATCCAGGACACTTCTTCAAGCTTTAACTTTCGAGGTATTATTGATTAACAAAATATTCATTGCATATGTGCTATAAATTAAATTTCTATTTTAATTTATTATATAGAGCTTCTTCGTTTAACTCTATGATATTTTGGATATTTAAAAGTCTTAATTTTTCGTATTATTTGATTACAATTTTCATTTTCCATTATAGCTAATCTTCTTCTTCTTCTTGTTTTTTGTTTTCTTCGTTACTTTTAAACGAATGACAATTTTCATTGGGTAATTTTCGCATTTGCATTAATCTCGATATAATACATTATTATACATGGAACGATCGTGTATTATTTTAAATTAATTTTGGTCGTTACTTCGTTATTGGCTTCTATAAGATTGATAAAAATTTCGAACGATCAATGTATTTAAGAAATTATTTCCAAATGATGTTGCATTATTAGTTTATAATATTATAAATATATACACATATGTAATGTAATTGTTGTGTGTAATATTGATACTTTTAATTTCTATATTACTATAATAAACTTTTTTTTTTTTTTTTTTTTTTAATGTATTTATCTGTTTAGAGATATTTTATTTCATGGTTGGCATTTTATGGTGTCAATGTACTTCTATGGTGTATCGTCTCTCTCTCTCTCTCTCTCTCTCTCTCTCTCTCTCTCTCTCTCTCAGCCATGTAACAATTAGCAATTCTTGCTACTTTACGCTTATTTTATTTGCTATTTTATTTCTGTTATTTATATTTTATTGAAAAATTTTATTATTCAAATTTAACGAAGGGAGGAAACTGTCTAATTGATGGTACTAAATTTTAATTCTTTATGCAAATTGCTAAATCGTTAAAAGCTCATTTCAATATGAAATAGACAAATTTTCATCAATCTCTTACATAAGGCTATGTAATTTATGTATTTTTCAAACAATATCTGTACAAATAATATAATAATGTTGTCATTGAATAGAAATATAATTGAATAATTGTTTTTTTTTGTTTTGTTTTTTATTTTATTTATTTTCACAAGTCTTCGATCGTAATAAATTGAATTGAACAATAGATTGTGAAATTAGAATGAAAATTTGTTTATATATGTTATCAAGTATCGTTAACTTTGTTTCTGAAATATGAATATTGTTCTTATACTAAATTTGGATTTAAATTGGATTTTTATCAATATTATTATAAACAGTACAGACAAGTATTTTTGAATTGATTTAATATATAATACAAAATTGCGTAATTTAATTGTGTTTCGTACAAAATATAAAGGAATAATGTCATTGTTATATAATATTTGAAAGAATGTATTGTGATGGAAATGTTGAATTTTATGAAAAGTCAGGCAGAGCAAACAATAAGTTGCATAGAAAAGTAAATGATAATCGATGTATACAGAAAAAGTTGGAAAGTTTGATATATGGACGCGCATTTTGCTGTTTTTATATTGTTTCGCTACAAACGTAAAATTTTCCAAATAATGTAAAATATAAAGACAGTGGGGTAAAATGCTAATTAATTTATGACAGCGAATAAAGCTTGAGTTCATCGTTTCATAATTATTACTTTAAAGGATGAAGTGACAGATACTTTTTTTATATTATTATTTCTATTGTCATTTTTCTTTTCACTCTACCTCTCGGGCTTCGTGTACATCGACAGGTGTTTACGTTAGATCGGGGCTCATTCTTTTTGAATTTCTTCAATCTAAGTTAACCAACCACTACGAGTCGCCTGGTTTCGATAATTTTAGATTGTTCGATTGGATGGATTAACGCATGGGTCATTTTTTTTTTTTTTTTTTTAATAATCAATTGATTTTACTTTCTAAGTTATGATTGTCCGAATGTCCGATGATGTCCGAAATTGTTATCGTCCAGTGTTTTAATCGACATTTAAGTTTGTGAATTTTTTCGATATATCATACTATATTTTGGATTTTAATTGTATGCGTGCATGGTTTTTTCATAGATAGTTGTTGTCTTGATTTTTACAAATCATTGAATCGGATGATTACGTCGTTTGATATTATATAAGATTGCTTTGGATTAGCGATTACAGAAAATTTAAATTTTCTTATAATTTATCGATTTTGTTGTTGTTGTTGTTGTTTTTTTGTTTTGTTTTTGTTTCTCTCTCTCTCTCTCTCTCTCTCTCTCTCTTAAATAATATCGTTATCCACTTTCTTTATTATATATGAGCTGGATGAAGTTATTATGAATAAATTGATAATATATCAGACAAAAAAAAATGTATGGAAGAAATAATTAATTATCAAATTAGGCTCAGATTAAGACACTATTTAAGTAAAAATAAAAAATTTACTTAATAAAATACAAGTAATTAGAGTATATATTTACAAGTCTAATATCATTGATTGATTATGATGATTAATAATGTATAAGAATGCGTGTATATTTAAAAATAAATGTATGTTAAATGAATATGGAAATGTAGAAAATGTATCTTGAAAAGCATTAGAAACGGCCCGTAGCGGAGAATTTTTGAAACGCAAAGTGAAAAATGAAAAACCTGCCGTTAGGTTATCGATAGTTGGTACTACAGTTAATACTAACAATCCATATGTATAAAAATTTATGGACTTTATTCTTTAGCAATAAATTCAAGTTTTGAATTCTCATGTTACTAAGCCCGGTAGAATCATTGGGATAAATAGGGAATGAGGGCGATTTTACGTGGTGATGTTTTTTAAGAAGGCCGTTTGATTGAGAAGAAGAATGTTTGATTTCTTATTGGGCATTCGAAAATCGCAATTTTCTTTCGTATATAATCTTATGATATTTCAAATTTATTGGCTTGAAATAAACAAAGGGCTCCTCGTGAATTGTCTTATTGAATTGCTGCCGGAATGTGACGTATGGTAATTTGATTTGATGCTGTCGTTACTTTAAGAAAGACGTCCTCGTTTGCAAATGAGGAATCGCGAGCGATTGCCGTGGGCCACGGTGTTTGGAAAAAGAAAAGGAAGGGGCGAAAGATCGAAGCGACGCGGTCACGCTATTTTCTTACGGCTGGGATAATCCGAAAATCCGTAAAACCGGCGATTCGCGTGATTCGTAGTTGTAGTAGACCGGTCTTAGGACAAAGACCCAAGTAAATAATGGTTCTATCGAGTGAAGAGTGAAGTATTCATCCCGAGAGAGCTACAATTCGCAGGAGGAAGTTATCGCTGCGCGGCAATATTCAAATATAGAAATGAGAGGTACGTCCTCTTGCGGTGTCCGACTAAATATTGGCATAAAACGTCGTTCGTTGGGAGTTAAGTCTCAGACGAATAGAGCGTCTTGTGTTCCGACGTGCATTTCTTTCACGTCGGCATCTCTCGTCTCACTCCCACCGTCATATTACATTAGCGCACGTATTTCGTATTTCGATTCTCGGTCCGATGTTATGCGTGTAGTGGCTAGTAGCTACTGCGGTTTCCTTGCAATGGAGTTCAGATGAAGCGGCGGCGGGAGGGGGGTCAAAGAGCTCTCGATGGAGCTGCTGCTGCTGCTGCTGCTGCTTCTGCTGCTGCTGCTGCTGGACGCATCGCTAAAAGTCGCGGATGAAGGTGAGTCCCCGGGCGGTTATAATCAAATGACCCACCACTGTTTCCTCCGTATAATCGCTGAGACTTGCACGGATCGGAGAGGCAGAGGCACATCTCGAGACGCATACTCGTGTTGAGCTTGGAGTTTCGGCCTCGTCGCTATTTACGCGGCTACTTGGAAGAGGGATTAACCGATTAAAAGACGCATTGGACGATGCTTTGTTCTTTATTGATGTTGACAATAATTCGTGGATTCGCTATAGCTTCGGAATGATTGGGTTAGCTCGATGGTTGTTAGAATGGACTCGGATTTTCGTCGTTTCCCTTGCTCGTTACGTTTAAGCGTGAGTTCTCGGCATTAGTGGCATTATGGGTTGTCGATGGCTATTACTAACTATTTTGTCAAATCCTAAATGCCTTATTGGCCTAATATTTAAAGCAGATTGTATTGTATGGGTAATTGGTTGTCGATGGGACGGCGCGTTAATTAATCACGATCTTATCATTTAGTAGAAATGCTGAAAGAAAAAAGAACTTGTAGTTAGATTAAAGTCGCCATTGTTGATGTTTGATGCATATTACAGCTGATAATTATTCTACTTTGTCAATTCGGTGGGCTTACAGAGTCAATGTATTTGTTTACTGTATTTATTGGTTAAAGATTTTATTCAATTTTGACGTTTCATATTATCACGTGTTCACAAAACCATATGTGAATTTACCATTTTAAAAAACCTAATTCAGTACGAAAAGTTCGCTTAATTGTTAACTATGCAAGATTTATGAGAAAATAAATACATAATAGTAGAATAATTAATAGGTTGGGAACATGCTTTACGCATTTCGTGTTATTTTAACATTTTGTAAATTAATTGTCGTTTATATAGGGAAATACTGATTATTGTTTTAACGTTTTCCGTTTTCGAACTTGTACGATAATTATTTATCACCTAATGTAATTACAATATACAATTATGAAATTGAAAAATGTAATACATACTAAATGCATATTTATATACGTTCGCGCGTGCGTGTGTACATGTGCCTGCGTATGTTTGCACGCATATCGCACAAACACACGCATACGCGAACGAATGCATGCATACGCATGTGCATATTCATATATATATATATATATATATGCGTGCGTGCGTGCGTGCGTGTGCGTGCGTGTACTTGGGCGTGCGCGTGTGTACACTCGTTTGTATTTGCATACATGTATATTTCAGAACATTGATAGAATAGCCCAAGTTTCTCTTGAATAAAAATTTGACCATGGAATCTTTGGAAAGAAAAGATGTGAGTACAGGCACCGATGAGCCAATAAAATTGGAAGAGATAGCGCAGAGTCCAGATACAAGCGAAAGGAGCAACAATGCGGCTTCGCCACCTCCAAATTGTAGCATTTGTTTGGGAAAGTTGATCAATAAATCATTTACCGACAGTTGTTTACATCAGTTCTGTTTTACATGCTTGTTGCAATGGTCTAAAATTAAAACAGAATGTCCCCTATGCAAGCAGACATTTAAATCCATAATACATAATGTTAGATCTGAGGAAGATTACGATCAGTATCATGTACAGTATACATCGCAAGTCGCTGCAACGCTGGACGTTACAGCTGATATTCATATCAGCGGCCAATGGGATGTTGCAGTTGGAGTTGGAGTTCCAGTTCGTCCATTTATGTACAGGTATTCAACTATAATATTCATAGAATTTTAACCACTACCGTATAAACTATTATTATGAAGCTATCGCATAAGCTCAATGCATTCTATTTATAATCGTTTGTTTAAATCGTTTCTGAAATTATGCATTTTCATGTACATGGATAATATCATCGGTATATTCGATCTTTCTTTTATAATCAAATTATTCAAAAAATATAAGAGCTTTGAAGGTTATACTTTTTTTATAACTATAGCTATATATGCACAACCTTTTACATAAAGTTGTAACAGCGTTTACATAGTTACTAAGTGAAATACTAAAAATAAATCATGCATATTTGTGCGTGTCTCGCGACTTTATTTAATTCCATTAAATCTTTGTTTCTAGAACGACTATGGGAGCCAATCGTAGGTATGGAATGCTTTTAAATCCAGAGGCTGTTGCTCGACGAGAACAAATTCCTAGTGTTCCTTCGCAAATTTCTAACGAAGAAAGGAGACGTAGATCTGCTAATCCAATAGATTATCGGCGAACGGTATATAGACATAGAATCTGGTCTGCGCCATTGCCAGACGCTTTTGGCCATTATCGCGAATCCAGTGCCGAATACTACAGGTACAATTTAAACTATGCTCTTAGCGATTAGCAATTACTCCAGAATAGCAAGTATTGAAAAATTAAAAAAATTAATTATGCTTTGACCATTTATACAATAATGCCATAATGCCATACATTTTAGGCGACATCCTGCAGAAATAAATAGACTTGTTCCCTGGCTTAATCGAGAATTACAAGTATTGTTGAATAATAGACCACATATTGCCTATGTTATGAGTGTTATTACGGAGTCGGTCACTCAATATAATATTCTCAGTCCTGAATTTCGCAATGTTGTTCGACCATTCTTTGGTATTCATACGGATCATTTTCTCCATGAATTCTCAAATTATGCTCGAACAAATTTCGATTTAGTTGGTTATGATCAAGCTATTAACTATATTCCTAATCGAGGTGCGCAACCATTTATTTACCATTTACTGTGTCACTGTAATAGGAAGTCGGCTAAACAGGATTTTCTAATTTCTATGCTATTTAGGTCTTTCAAATGACTATGTTCCAAGAACAATATCTCCGACACCAAGTAGAAGTAGTAGTTCGTCGAGCGATTCAGATGTACGTATATTAAATGATAGCCTTGACTTTCCTGGATTGAACTCTTTCAGCATGCCTGCAGCTGGATCTCATATAATCGATATTCCAGGTATGAGATACAATTCAAATTTCCGAGTAAATGTAAAAAAAAAAAAAAAAAAAAAAAAAACAAGTGCCAAATCAATAACATTGTTTCCTTACTACCTTAATAGGTCCAAGTACGGTAGGACAGGCATTTAGAGTCCAGTTGCCTTATACAACTTCGGATGTTCTTACCATATCGTCTACGTCGTCGTCATCTGATAACGAATGTGAGGTAATCGGTTATGTCAAACCGCGTCACGAAAGAACACCTGAAATAATCGATTTATCTTCGTCCGAAGCAGAAGAAATGAATACCCCATTGCAATTCAGCGAAACCAATAATATCCAGTAAGAAAAATTACTTTAAATTAGCAGAGTAGTTAAGTTAAAGTTAAAATTAAGTTAAAATTGATAAAGTACTTGTACTAAGTAAAATTCACGCATGTCCAATGAAAGCTTTGGGTATCGATATTAATTGTCGCCTATTAATCGCCGAGCTTTACTATATTATCGTATAATCGTGCGCTTGGAGCAATCGATGTCCCGTAAAGTCGTTCGTTTGAGCTTGAATCTAATGTTTTGCAGATCCGAAGTGGTGGTGCCACTTAAGGAAGAAAATTTACCGAGCACATCCTCCTACGACAATGGCAACAGACGAACTCGACGTCAAAGCGAAGACGCGGTCAAAGCCCAGATGTACGAATATCTGAATACGACTTCAGATAGCGACAGTGACGCGAACGACAGTGATTACAATCCTGTTAATAGACGCCAGTGTTACAAAAGTTCCTCGAAAAAGGCCTCGAAGGTCGTCCTGCGCAAGCTGCGGTCGCGTAAGCACAAAAAGTCGACGACCTGCCGACGCAAACGCACCAGGGAGACGCGCAATAGATCGTCGTATTCGAGTTTTGGCAGTGATAACGAGAGCCCGCAACGGGAGGCATCCAATTCTCGAGGGAACAAAAAATACTTGTCGAAGAGTTCGGACGATTCGGATTACGAGATAAGTACGAGGAAGAGTAAGCGAAGCAAGAAGAGCAAGTGCTCGAAGAAGGCCAAGAAGCGCTGTAATAGCAGTAGTTGGTCTTCCAAGAGCGTTTACAATAGTAGTTATAGTAGTAGCTCGAGCATCGACAGCGACAGCGGCGAGGAGCACAATAACAAGCGCAACAAAAATAGGATTAAGAGAGACACGGTAACGACGAATTCCAGTCGCTACTCGTTGGAAGAGCCGTCGACCAATGATAAGTGCTTCTCGAATAATAGCAACGGCGAAACGAGAGGAACAAGTCAGCGGAAGTGCGGCAAAGTGTTCGTTGGTTCCGATCTGTCCGACTATAGGAGATCCGAATCCTCTAGACGGTCATCCAGCGGGAGTTTCGATAGTCGTAAGAATACGGAGAGATTGCAAGGTGTCGAGACGAATAGCCGACGCTGCATAAGCGACGGGGACGACAATAGCAGCGTTTATTCGGGAAACGTATCGACCTCGTATCCCAAGAGGAAAACGAGCGTTAAGTCAACGTCGAGCCAAGGGACGAATTACTCAACCGACCGATCCAGCACGATAACGATGTCGGCCTCGAGTACGAAAAGTGACGCGTCTTCGATAAATGAACATTCCGTATTATCAAAAGCCAGCAGAGACAGATATCGATCTCACAAAAAGCATAAAGAGTCTAAGAAACGGAGGCGATCCCGTAGTTAATCGTATTTGTGAGAGAGACAAAGAGACATAGAGAGAGAGAGAGGGGGGGAGAGAGAGAGAGAGAGAGAGAGGGGACAGACAGACAGACAGAGAGAAATGATAATTGTATCAATTTTTAGGGAAGGAGTTTGACAGGAATGCGATTTTAAAATGAGATTTTTTCTCTTTTTGATAAATGTACATGTTTGTGTATCTAGTTATTTTTATTTTATTTTTATTTTATTAATAAAATATTTGTATTACAATTTTAGAGGGGCAGAGAGGTTGAATTTAAAATAATCATCGTTGCTGAGTATTGAAATATTTGTACATTTAATTCAATCGGTTTACACGAGTAAATTCATAAGAATCGCATTAAATGATGTAAATAGATCAAATTTCCTATTCGTTTTAAAATTTTATTTTAAAAGGACCGAGGCAATCGAGCATTTATAAGCATCTTCGTTCGTTTCAACTATTTCTTTACAATTCCTCAATATTTGCTAAAACTAGCTTCTCAAGATTTGAAATCTCATAGTGGATAATATAATGTCGCATCCGTTTCAAAAGTTTCTTATTTTTATATCATATACAATCGATTTTTCAACCTCTTTACTTGTTCCATTGCGACTTCTTGTATACGAAAGGTGGCAAATGGCTTTTGAGATTTTGCACATTACAGTTTTATAAAAAAATTTGTATATACAAAATATTTATTATTTTAAAATCCAGTCCTGTGCTCCTGTATAATAACGTATGATTGGATTGAACACAAAAAAAAACAAAAAAAAAACAAAAAAAAAAAAAGACAACAAAAAATGATTTTGATGCTATACTGAATCGATGATTAAAGATGAGCGAATTCTGAAATTGTATTTTTTTTTTTTTTGCACCCCGGGAAGTTTCAAGGCTCTACTGCATAAGTGATACATACATGCTGCAATCGAGGACTTCATTAAAGAAGATAGTAGTTTTCTTATTTTATCGTTATGACTTTATGATAATCATTACATTAAAGACTTCGTTTTCCAAAGAGATGCATAAATATGTGCATTTGAATTATTGGCATAAAACTAATTCATTAAAATACACAACATAAACAATTTTGTATGTCAGTTGATTTGTAAATTTGTCATACATATTTAACATTTCTTTGGGGATTAGAATACGTTAAGTAGATTAATTTATATACTTTTTAAATAAAATTAAAATAGTTATTACTTTATAAATGTATTATTATTCTTTAAATTTTGTACAAATATTAAGCATCGAGTGAAACAATATATGGTCTGATGTGGACAGTGCAAGCATTTGCATCGAGCAAATAATGTAAAATTCTGTTGAGCTATTAAAATTTTTCAAGGCAACCAACCAATCTTTCCAATTTATATAAATATTTTATTTATTTAAAAATAAGTTGTATAAACATATTGTAAGCAACGAGCATGTTTCATCATTTATTAACAAATGTGTATACAATAACGGCATTAACTAAACAAAGTGAAATCCTTCTTTATTAAATGCATGTAATACTCTAAAACATAAGTAAATATTCTTATATTAATTTATAATATTTGGCAAATGAGCATTGATTAAGTATCTTTAAAATCGTACTTCACAAAATCATCAATGTCCATCGTTCGAGCTCGTAAATCAGCTACATTGTTTATTAATAAGACATTATTAATTTTTTCTTTTATATCAAAATTTTCTGGAAGAGGCTGAAATAAATAATTAATACAATAAAACTGATATCTAGTTGTCATTTTTACTTTTTATGCTAGGATGCTTACCGTGTTATTAAGACTGCAGTGAAGTTTATAATTTTTTTCCATCATTGCCGTTACCGATGTCTGTTTAAAGGCTGCCGAAAGCATTTTATTTTTTCTAACAAATGCTATTCTAGTTAGGCCATCCCATTCTTTATAATTAATTGGTGGCGGAGGATTTCTCGGCTCTATCCTTACAACATTTGATTCCACTTTTGGCGGGGGCCTGAAGTTATTCTTTCCTACCTTCATTAACATATCGACTCTCGCCAAGAGTTGTGTATTTACACTAAGTCTACAATAATGTTTATCTCCCGCTTTAGCGACCAAGCGCTCTGCAAATTCTCTTTGAAACATAAGAACTGCGCATCTGTCGATACGATATTAAAATGTTATAATTTATTTTGGACAAAGATATATTAAAATTAATAATAATTTATGGTAAATGTAAATTGAAGATGGTTATTTTTAATAATTTTCACCTGAAAATAGGCCTATGAAGGAGTAATTTAAATACCAAGGGTGAAGAAATTTGGTAAGGAATATTAGCGACGCACAGATCAAAGAATGGGAGATTTATTTTTAAAACATCTCCAACCAGAATTTGGAGCTTAGATTGTACTGGAGTTCCCATTACACGTTTTTGTAATTCTGCAACCATTCTACTATCAATTTCACACGCTATTACTTTTTTTGCTTTATCCAGCATTTTCATTGTCATGTTGCCAGTCCCAGAACCAATTTCAAGAACAACATCTGTTGGTCTAAGGGCTGCCTTCTCTACTATATTTTGAACGATTAAGGGATTTTTTAAAATATGTTGTCCAATTTCAGTTTTAAAAAATATCCCTAAAAAATTAGAAACAACATTTTAGTCATTAACAACGACAAATATATTTTATATTAATTGTTTTCTTTTTAACAATCATCTACACTATTTATCATTAAAATTAATAAACATTAATTGGAACAATTAAGATTAATGATTATTACGTTAATGAAAATAATTAAGATTGTTAAACATGATTATTGTTAACAATTTACAATAATGTCCTGAATGTGGAATAATATCAATAATATTTCATTTTTGTTATGCATAATGCACTAAACACAAAACAAAAATATGTAATTTCAATAACAATTAAGCTAAATAATTGATGCCTCTTCTATCCCAATAATTTATCGATAATCGACAATGGAATAACAAAGGTTAGTGTTTTTAAAATGAAATAAATATTTAATAAATATTTAATGCAATGGTAAATTAACAACCTTGTCGGGCTATTTCTTTATGAATCCTATTAGATTTTTCTCTTCCAACTTTCGGCATTGTAAATATGATACAAATTAAATAATAATCATAATACTACGAATGCATGTGGTTTGGTTAAAGAAATAATTTAAAGATACGATCGCACACGTGTGTACTGTAAATTCGTAAACAGTGCAAGTGCACTTGATGCCTGTGTGACACCTACATTCTCCAACACTAAGCGCAACATTAGGGTTAGTAGCGAGTGTGCACGACCGTGTGTGTGTAATACCGTGTCTATACGCAGCATGAACGTAGTAAGGAACATAGATTGGCAAATGTACTGGCAATTGAGGGATGAAAGTAGGGGAACAAGTCGTGTGCATATTTGCAATTGTCGAAAATTGTGTGAAAAATCTTTGAGCCTAATTTGTTAAATTTCAAAGATTATGTTGAAACTAATGAGTATTATCGGCAATGCGAAATAGCCAATTTTATCATTCAAATGCGTGAAATTGGCATTTGTTAAATACATCTCCTACGGCACCATCTACAATATTCTACGCAAGTTTCTCTTCTACGTTCCCTCTTGTATTTATGACCAAGACTTATCATCTATAAGTGCATTGACGTCATCTTACAAGTGCTTTATCATAGACTCGAATCAGATAAAATTTATTGACTCAATTGATAAATCTAGTAGTAATGTAATTTTGTATTACAGGTTATATTTATGGGTGTAGTTTACTCTTGTATCAAATGAAATTGGGAATGCAAGTTGTTTTGTACATATTGAGATGATTCCTAATGAAACGAATTTGTTTTGAAATTTTATCTCGTACTTGTTTTGTTGAAATATTACAGGAAAATAAAAAAAAAACCTCACCTTAATGGCGTTGCAAATGTACCAGAAATTACAAAACTTTTTAATTCAAATGGGCTAGTATGATATAGCAGGTTGTATTATAAGTGAAGTGGATAATGTAATGAGATCAATGTGATTTAAGATAGTTTGTTGCAAAATGGAGTTGAAGGTATGGGTTGAAGGTATACAACGCATTGTTTGCGGTGTTACAGAAACTACAACATGCCAGGTTTGCATAAACATACAATTTTTACATGTCATTAACATGCTGATGTTCTTATATCTCGTAATGTCTATTTCCAAATAGGATGTAGTTTATGCACTTGCACACGCAACTGCTCAAACTGGCAGATTTACTTTAATTGAACGCTGGAGAGCTAATGAAAGATTGCTTGCACCCTATGAAAATCCATTAAAGGTGATTCAAATTTTGACGTTAAACCAAAGTATTTTTAAAAATGATTTATTTTTAGAATTTAAGTGACTATAGGTGAGAAGCTATTAATAGATCCAGTCATTGAAGATATGTGCTTAATCTGAATTAAAACTTTCGACAAATAACTTTATCATTAATCTTACTTTATTGGATTTTACAATAAATTATATGTATTTTAATTGATATTTACTTACGATACTATTAAAAATTTATATTATTTCAATCAATAACATATATATTTAAATATTTACTTAATAACATTAATTTAATAAATAAAATTGAATAGATAGTATTTATTTAGACAAATATATTTAATATATAGGTTGATATAGTAAAAGAAAAACGATTTTAAATTATGTACATTTCAATTTGGCATCGAAAATTTCTTATAATTTATTAAATTCAATAATTATATTCTCTTTTGTGTACCTATAACAATACAAAATTTACTATAAATTACATCTAAATATTTAATAATGATTTTTTAGATATTAATGAAATGGGGTGAATATGCATCGGAAGTGCAATTGATACTTCGTAAATCCACACCAGAAGCAAATAAAAACACCGCCTTGGCTAATCCTCGTTCTGTACATACAAATCGTATTAACAAAATACAAAATTCTTTACCAGAGCATTCTTTAAATAATAGCTTACATGAAAATATTAAAGGGAGTCCAACAATAGGAGCAGATTCTGACGATGTTCAAAGTGGCTTAGAAAGAAATCGTGATATTAGAAAGTCATTGACTTTTAGTGGACTGCATGGAAATATAAGCGAAATTAGTCCAGAAGTAATTAATATCAATCGAAATTTATATATTTTTAAATTTTTAATTCTAAGATTGTACGTTATATTTTAGTTTCTATTGTTTAAGCATTTTTTTTATCTCTGTAGGTTCAAATGGAAAATGTTGCCATAGTTCAACCGACGCCACAATTAAAATCAAAAGAATTTGGAAGTAGAAAAACGTCACAAAGACTTACTCAGTCTCCAACTAGAACTTCAAATATTGATGGTAAATAAATTTGTTTCAATCGAGATTGTATAATATAAAAAATAGTAAAATAGTAAATATATGTCCAAATGCCTAAGAGTCGCCAATAGACTAACCATTTATTTCTAATTTGCATTGAATTACTTGAGTTAATGACTAATGAATATATTAATAATATAGTATCTGATAAAGTCAAAACTAATAAATTGTGTGTCCTGATTATTGAAATTACGAATTTATGAAATCCTTATTAAATCTTTATATATTCAATTATTATTTTAAAATACATTAATAAAAATATTATTAAAGAATGGCTTAATGGTTATTAAGTAATCTGTAATGCATATTAATTTTAACAGGAAATATTTATGCATCCCAAAAGAAAGTGCGCGAAGTGCCTCCTTATAGAGATCCACCAGGTCCTGTTTCACCACCACAGAGAACTCTACCGCCTTATCGAGATCCTCCACCACCAAATTTGAACAGTCCTGGGAGATCGCAATATTTACCTAATACAAGCAGCAATCCTCATCTTTATAAAGAACAATCGTCACCTCATAATGCTACAAAATCAAAACGAAATCTTATTCAGGTTTGCATATAATATTAATTTTCTTTTTCTTGGCTTGCTACTAATAATTTATTCGTTTGCTCATATTGAATTATTTTATTTTAAATTTGCTTTTCTGAGTCAAATTTAATATTGTATATTGTAAAAAATTTCAAAATGAAATGTAAATTATAAAATTCAAAAGTAAGAAAATAAACCAAAGTAAATAGTAAAAAAAAAATTATATATGCATGTATACATGGTGTGTGCGTGTGTGCATGCGTGCGTGCGTGCGTGCGTGCGTGTGTGTGTGTGTGTCTAGGTATATATATATATAAATGTGTGTACGAAGTATGCATGCATGATATGTGTGTGTGTATGCGCGCATGCATGCATGCATAAATGTAATACATGAATATATATATATATATATATATATATATATATATATATATATATATATATATTTATACAGATATAAACAATTATACATCTGTTTTTAATCTTTGCTTTTAATTCTATTTTAGGAATTTCAAGAAATAAAAGGACAAAATCAAACTGTCAATCAAATTGCTGGTCAAGGACAAAATATGGTGACAGTAGCATATACACAAAGATATGTTGAATTAATTAGGCTAGTCAATAGGCAAAGAGATACCATCAATGCTCAACAAGCAGATCTGACAAAAGTAACAAAGTCAATTCTTAAAACTTTAATATACTTGTCATCGTCTGGTTAATATTTGTTAAAATTTCAATATTAAATTTTAGTACGATGCTGAAATTTTATATTGGGAGACTAAAAATCGAGAGCAAATGCATCAAATGGATTTTATATCTCAAGAGGTAAATCGAATTGAATCAAGCAATAGAGTTATCGAAGATCAGGTAATTACACTTATTTATAATGTATTAACAATATTCAAACTAATTATTTATTATTCTTAAACTATAGTTGAAAGAGTTAGCGCATGTTGAGGAAGAAAGTGAAATCGTTAGACAGCAAGAAAAAACTTTGAAATCAGAAATAACACTTTTGAGATCAAAACTTGCAAATTGTGAAACTGAATTACTTCAGTGCAAAAATAAAATTCGGTAAGCAAATGTAACATTTACTTTTTATTAATTAATCAATAGATTGTTATTTATTATTGTACCATATTTCAGACTTGTTATGGAAGAATTAGCAATGGAGCAACATAATATCAATAGAGAGGCCGATGAACATCAAATGATGGAAAGGAAGATTATAGGTGAAGTTGAACATCTTCAAAACGAAGTTGAACAAGCTAAACGCGCTGCAGATATGGCCACTCAATGTGCCGAATCGTTAAAGCAAGAGGTTGTAAATTTAGAAACTGCCATTATTGAAAAAAAGTTACAAGTTGAAAGGCTTGTAGCTGATATGAAGGAAGCGAATTTGCAAAGTTTGACAGTTGCTTGCCAGGACGAACAAATCAAACATTTGCTTGAAGGTAAATGGTATTCTCATGTCTTTCTATTAAACTTATTAATCTACAAAAACATTTTTTATCCATTTGTGAGAATATTTTTCACTTTATTTTTAACATAATTGAAGTCACGCATTATGTAATTTTAAAATTCATCTGACAATTTAGTGTATAAATATTTTTACATTTAAGACAAAATTGTATGAAAATATTTTATGATTTTATGTACTATAAGCGATTTTATTTTAGGAGCTCACAAACCTGGAAGTACAAGAAAAATGATTGGTTCACCAAGACAGTTAGAAACGGCAGTGCCTACAAGTAAAAATCCACATGGTGTGTGGGTGTAAAAGAGCATAAATGATCTCTAATAATTTATATTTTATGTAACAAAAAAAAACAAAACAAAACAAAACATAACAAAACAAAAATTAGTACTCTAGTTACTTAATTGTTGAGTCATAGAACAATCAATCGACAATATACGTTAAAAATCGAGTCAAATTAGTATATGAATTTTAAATAATTTTATAAATTTTAAATAACCTATTTTTATTTTATGTATCGGTTGATGTCTATACACGTAGTATTATTTGTTTCTATAAGTAAATTTTAAACAAGCACACACTGCCATAAGTGTTATAATATTTAATTATAATATTATAATTAAAAACTATATTTATAGCTTTTGCTAAAAACGTTGCCTAAGTATTGCTTAAGTTATTTTGGCAATTGACCATAATTTGTTGTAACTAAAGCATTTATCTTTATAACAATTTATTATTAATGCTCGTTTGCCAAAGTGTATTAAATTTATGTAAATTATCTTGCGCATCAAATACACATACATTATCAATGATTATACACTGTTTAGAAATTCGAATTTTAAAATAAAAATAATATCGCACTTGATATATTACTTAAATGAAAAATAAAATAATCAATAAATTATGAATAACAGATTGTAAAAGTATAAAAATTTAATAAAATAATTTTGTAATGATACTTTTATATAAAAAAATGTATAAAATAGTATAACATGTAAGCTGTCATTTATCGTTTGAAATAATTATCATATTGTAAAGCAATTATTAAAACATATCAATAACAGTGATTTTCATAATATAAATTTTTATTTTTATCTTACACGTCTAATATATTTTAATTCGTTATATTATTCACAATAGATTTTATGATATAAAAATATATGATTTTTTTTCTCTCTAAATAGCAGGATACGTTATTCTTATTTAATAAATGAGATGTATGACGAATTCTTCGGTGATTCTTATTAACTTAATTGTTAAAAACAATTCTTATCGTGTTTTCACACTCTTATAATCTATCTTCTCTCTTTTCACCGTTTTATAATGCTTTTATCAATATCACATTTCAATTTAAATAAAATTTCTTAACCTCCTTCTTATAACGATTACTCGCATCTATTTTCGATTTTATAATTTATCATCTCGATTTATAATATACATTTGAGGAATGTATATTATTTAATATGAAAATAAAAAAAAGAAAAAGAATAAGAAAGAAAGAAGAAGATTTTAGCAATAAATAGTAAAATAGTATTTTACGTATCAGTACTTGGTCGCTTTACTTAGATTTACTTTGCATATTCTAATTTTAATACAATTTTTGAAAATCTTGAAATAATTCAATTAACGAAGAATTATTTAATAACTTGTATTTTTGAAATAAGAGCCAATGTATATTTCTTAATCGCATGTGGTAAGTGTTGATTAAGCTCTAATTACTATCAATTATATGCAATTTAATGAAAGGAAAATCAGTGACAAATAGATTACTGTTAATAGTCAAAGCAATGTTTGATGAGTGCATAATCTAAACAAGTTTCATTAGCATATAAATTACCTTCATAGATATAATTTTATTTTTAATATTTAATTCGAATAGAACAAATTAATTTAGATAAAAACGTTTGGAATATACGGTTGTGAAATATGAAAATTTGTAGGTAGTTTGAAAACTTCACTCATCACTTTAATAATGACCCAGTAGAAATAAGATGTAAGTAGTTTATTATTTCTAAAGTTAAATTATTAAATTTTGTAATGTTAAAATTGCTTAATTATTATTCTGTATGGTACATTGTAATGTGACAAGTTTTGTAGATCGATTTTGAAAATCATACAAGGAGATACGTTTGAAACAATATTGTTTAATATTATTTCTTATCTATTGTTATTTGAAAATTGAGAATTTAAATGAAATTTTTTATAATGTAATTTTATACATCTATAAATATATTTAGTTCTTAGATTCGAACGTTTTATCCATCTATCTATATATCGTTTTGTGATATAAAAAAATTTCAATATTTAATAAAGCATCAATTATAAAAATTTATCACTAGTTTCATTTATAATCTATGTTGTTTGAACTTAAACTCTCATGCTAACTTTTATCACAAGTCAAACAATTATAAAATAGTTCTTTTAAATCCATTGTATTTTTAACTTCTTGATTTTTTTTTAATTTTATCTGTTCTTGGGATGTGAAATTTGCTATAATGCACTAAGAAATTTATTTAATTTCATAAACAAATAATAGTAATTTGGAGATACAATTGTTTTTATGCTTAATTAACGATTTAAGCCATCTTAATTAATCAGTTATATGCGTATAAAAATGTAATTACGTATGTACTCCATTGCCCGAATAATTTTCGATTATTTTAAACGTTTAGATGTTTAGACGTTATATTTTAGAGATTAAGAAGAGTAGTATCGATGATTTTAAAAATCTTGAAATCATTTACATTAATCAAAATTTTCTTGACGAATAGTAAAGCATTTATGATTAGAGAAAAATGTTAAAATATTGTTCGTGTATTATTAAAAAATTATACGACAGTTATCGAATAAGAAATTTAGGCCCATAAAAAGAAACGTTCATTTCATGGATGCAATATGAGGTAATAACAAATTATCTGGAAGAGAATTAACGGCATACCTCGTACTCTAAACCTTTATAGCCTTTTAAAATCATCTGGATTATTAGAATATAATGCGCCATTTGCATAATATAATGGCGCCAGTCCACGATACTAATATAAATAATGAACATTTATGTATTGAATACTTTAATAGCAGGTGCTTGATATTTTTATTATATGTATCTATAAAAGTGACAAAACAATTTTTAACGAATTAATAATGTATGGTATAAAAATTCATTTTAAATACAAAAATAATATAAAATGTTATTCATGGTTAAAAAAAAAAAAAAAAAAAAAAAAAAAAAAAAAAAAAAAAAAAAAAAAAACAAATAGCTTACTCAAGAAATCACAGATATTAAATAAAGTGCATGTGAAAACATTAGGAGTCTATAAGAAATTCGACTTTAATGCAAAATGTTTAAAAATCCGTCTCCTCGGCCTTCCACGTGGATTAGAACGTTCTGATTTTTATTTTCCATAAATCATTCGTAACAATGTTTTCCCTCTTTAAACAACAATAGTAAGAAGTACCTCGTTATTACCATTCATACTTTTACATTGACAGTAATGTGCTCGTTTTTTCTTTCTTTTCGTTTTTGTTTTGTTTTGTTTTGTTTTTTTAAATGACCTATTTCAATATACGCGCATTTATTTGCCTATCATTATTTAAGAACGTATTTAGGCAAATTGCAATGAGCAAAAGTACTTAATTTACTTGGCCATATAATTTTCCGCAGTACCGAGGACCAATGATAAGCGAGGCGACACTGCGCAGACGCGACTGACGTCAGCGTGGCAATATGGCCGCACACCATCGGCTGTGTGCGGCGTATCTAGTGTGATAAAACGGACTTTTCTCGATTAATAGTGTCGGTCGGTCAGTGCGTAGATATCACAGGATGTCGGATTACCTGAGGTCGGCCTTTGGTTACCTGAATGGTGCTGCTGCGGCCAGTAACGATTACGTTGGCCAGGTCATCGAGATTAGCGGTGTCAAGCTCCGTGTCAACAGACTTATTGCCGAGGGTATATAGCAATCGTTATACGCTTCCACCTTCTTTATACACCATAAATTTGCTTTTTCGATTTCATTTATACTGCTCGTTTACGTTTCGTCCTTTTGTTAAGTTTTGATTGGGTCATTCAAGCTTTGGTGGAGCTCTCTTGTTTGTTACGTAGAAGATGTTTGTTGGGATAATGATCGTGTTAAATGTCAATGTTACGACCCTCGATGTTAAGACCCTACAAGAAATTGACGATGGAAATTGCTTTGACAAAGTATTTTTGGTTATACGTATTTTCTTCATTTGCCGATAAAAAATAAAAGATAAAAGAATTTGAAATGCAAACAATGGTTGTGTCGTCTGTGTGGACGCGTTTGAGGATGTTAGGTGCCTCCAATGTAAACACTGGCATATGTCAATGTTATGTTAGAAAATGCCTTGTGTTTTGTTACACTTAAGTGAAACATTATAATTATTTAATACTACAATTGTCAAATAATAAAATTATCAATTAGAGTAATTGTTATTATATTTTGCTATTTGAAAGTATACATGTAATTGTAAGCAAGCGTTTAATATATTGAAGTGAATATAATAAATGTTTTATCATTCAATATTATTGATAACATATTAATTATATTTTTCTGCAGATAATTTTTATCTTTCATTGAATAAAATAAAAGAAATTATATCTCAAAGGTGAATCTATCGTTAAAAGTTTAGTCAATGCAATTGTAATAATTAAAATGTTCGTTTTGAATGTAATTAGCAAGTAATTTATATATTATTATCTAAACATTATTGTGCTTATGTTAAAGTGAATAATTATTATTTAGGAAAAGTAGTTTTGAATTTTGAATTTGACATAATTAAAATCGTTTACATAAATATAAATAGACGATGATAGTGTAATAATTTGCGTTATTATATATTCGTAATAATAATAACTGATGTAATTGTAATTGATTGTAATATTTGTCAAAATTTGTACTTATAGGTGGATGGGCCTTAGTATTTGCCGTTGAAGATGTTACTACTGGGAAAGAATATGCTTTGAAAGTAATTTAAATATATATTATTTCGTCGAAATTATTAAAAAAATTGTAAATTATATGCTTTTTATATTATTATTTACCGTTTATAGAGAATGATTGCAGTCGATGAAAAAACCAAAAAAACAATACTTCAGGAAATAGAAACTCTTAAAACCTTAACCAAGCATCCAAATATTATACAATTCTTGTGTGTACAACAAATTGATAGGGATGAAAATAAAGGATGCGAATATCTTCTGGTAACGGAATTATGTCCTGGTGGAACGCTAGCAGATGTTTTAAGGAATATTACTGTACATTCGCTTAGTGTTGCTCAAGTATGCAAAATAGCTTATCAGGCAACAAAAGCCATCCATCACATGCACTCCCAACAGCCACGACCGTTTATTCATAGAGATATAAAGTTAGAAAATTTTCTAATTGGCAGCGATGGCTTAATCAAACTTTGTGATTTTGGAAGTACAACAGTTCGACAAATATTGCCGGATACTTCTTGGAATGCCCAAAAGAGAGCTCAATTAGAAGATCACATGGCTAAATTTACAACACCTATGTATCGAGCGCCTGAAATGATGGATACTTGGAATAATGATCCTATTGGACCACCAGTAGATTGTTGGGCACTTGGATGTGTTCTTTATACCATTGTAACATTACGTCATCCTTTCCCTGAGGGTAAGTTGTATTTTTTTTATTAAAATTTTTAAAAGTATATCATTTTCTTTATTTTTATACTATAACGAGTCTATCATTTTATGTCACACCATTATCAAATTTGATGATGTATTTAGTTATTATTAACATTAATTTCTAATTTCTATGAATATAAATACTTTGTATTCTTAATTAAACAATGTCACATTTCACGAATTAATTTTTTTCCTTTCAATTACCTATTAAATTCATTTAATACAATCATAATTATAAACGATTATTAATGAAACTTTTAATAGAATCTTAATTGAACGATATTATATTTCACGAGTCAATTTTTTTCTTTTCTAATTACGTATTACATTCATTTAATACAATCATAATTATATACGATTATTAATGAGACTTTAAATAGAATGTTTTATATAAATATCTTTAATTAAATCACAGATTTAATTGGTAGACACTTGTTAGAATCCCGAAGACAACATCCTTTAAATTATATAATCTTTCCATTAACATATCATATCTCAAAAATGGATTTTGCTCCTCATTGAGAATAAATGTAATATTCATGAGATCTATCAACCGTCATATCAACGCCAATGTTAAATAAAAAATTTCTTTAATAACATTGAAATATTCCAATACATTTTTTAAATACCATAATTACACATTGAGTAATGCCTATGAATTATTCTATCTACGGTAATAGCTTTAGTATATATATATATATATATATATACAAATATAATTTAATGTCGAGAGAAATAATGAGTTGGGTTGCGATTATTCTTAATTTTTGATGCTCCCGTCATCGGTGATCGGTAGAATCGGATCGACTTCCATGCAATCCGAGTTTTTAGTTTGAATTGCCATATAATAATGCAAATTATATTCGTTCGGGTGCTGCTCGTCATTCAATAATACGTAGAGGCGAATAATGCTTGTTGCCGGGGAAGAAAAGCGCGAGTATTGTTAGGCTGTCTTCTTTTGTCTGCGATGACCTTGACTTCTTACCCCTTGCTGATCGATTCCCGTTGGACATCTTCCTTCCGTTTTTCTCGTGTTTCTCTGTTTCTTCGCACACCCGATACTACTCCGTCTTTTATATAATAATCTTGTACCGAGTAAGGGAGTTCTTCTCTCTTCCTTTCTCTTTCGCTTCGGTGGTGCCATCTCTGTCCTTCTTGCGCGGCCACGATATTCGGAAAGCGTGGCGTGGACTGAGGATGATGTGGTCCATCGTACGACATGGAATTTTACGAGGCGAAGGTGATGGAAAAATAAACTACGAGAAATAAATAAATAAAAAATAAATAAATAAATAAATAAATAAATAATAAACGCTGGGAATGAATTTTATATAGCACACGGCAATGAATATCAATATTTTATGAATGAAAAATATAACTTCGTTATGCATCTTTTATGCAAACACTGCGGTTTACTTGAACTACGTAGTTTATGTTATTATAACGTAATTTTAAAAAAATTTTTAAATTAAATTTGATAATTTGGATAAATCATTTCAAAATTTAAATTTCAGTGATTAGATTACCTTCTTTACTTCTCAATTTCGTAACTTTCTCATATAATTATGCATGAAGATAATGGATTTTTATTTTATTTTTTTGTGGTTTTTACTTTTTAAGTCACTGTGAGAAAGTAAAGGCTCACTAATTATAATAATCAATTTATTAAAATTGAATTTCATGGTAAAACAATTATCTTTTGTACTAAATTGATTTGATAAAATTTCCATTACTCTTTCAAAGTTTTTCTTAATTTTATAAATTTATAAATATAATTTTATAAAATTTCAACACCAACCAATCAGTCATTCGATCGCGTATGAATTTTCTTTAAGTTGTAAAATAATTTAATGTTAGAAGACATTAATTTAATGCTCGAATGTTACGAGTTTTCAAATGTGGATTATTTTGTTCAAGAGATTATAAATTTATCGATTCTTTTAGCTCTCTCAACGCATTCATCATTTTATTTCAATTACATTATAAAATGTAACAAGAGCAAATGAGTATTTAATAAATTTTCTTTATATCAGCTTCATAATTTATTTAGCTAAATGTATTAGTTTTAAAATACTAAATTTTTAATTACAAAAATCCGAATTACAGCTCATCATATACGTAAATTAAATTACAAACTTCTATATGAGTGAGCAAGTAAACAGTTAAAATGAATGCGTAATTCATTGAATAAATTATAGTTATATTTTCTTATTTGTACACACTGATCTGAATATTACTTAATTATATGTATTTATAATTATTTTTATGTATTTAATAATATCTAATCTAATAAATCTAATCTAATCCAATCTAATCTAATCAAATCTAATACATACTTAATTATATATATTTATAATTAATTATAAATATACTTAATATACTTAAAAATACCACACCGACTTGATTCTTAAATATTTATAAAACGTCGACAGACTTATTATTTCACGCTTCGAAATCCTGCTCCGCGCCGACAAAAATCTCAACATCAATGTCAACCGGCATTATTATAACGAGCCAAATTACCCTACATTTTTTAGGCAATAAGCTGGCGATAGTCAACGGCAAGTACCCACCGTTGCCGGCGAATCCGTGCCTCGGTTGCTTCAACGACCTGATCAAAGGCTGTCTGCAAGTTTCCCCAACCCAGCGGCTGACGACAGCAGCATTACTCGAGAGGCTGGCAGCCATAGCCGAGTCGAACGGTTTCGATCCGCGGGAACCTGCGAAACTCGAATTCACCCCCACGAAGCCGCCGCCCCCGACAAGGCCCGCACCACCAGTCCCGTCCGCGGCTGCTTCGGGAACAGGTTTAGGAGGTGGTGCCACGATGCCGCCTTCGAGGCCGACGCCACCGATGCCTACTCATCAACAGGGCCCACCACAAAAGACGCCAGGGACTCAGTCATCAGGTTCGCTACGTTATCATTTCATCGATAATAGCCTTCCACCTTTATTTCTCATTCGCGTGAAATACTTATATCGTCACTCGACGATGTCGACGGGGAGGTCATTATTGATTTGCACGCAGACAAGCGTTAGATGGTATTACCACTAGGTCAGATTAAGATACGAACATATAAAAATTAGGATCCTTAGCCCCAATAATAATATAATATATCACGTTGTATCACCTCTTGCGGCTGACTGTACGAGTTTTATTACTGCCATTTAAAGCTAAAACTACTACTTTAAATTACGCCAATACATTCGAAATTAGCACGCTAATTCATTATATACGTAATAATTATAACAGAAATCGGTGCTGGATTAAAAGAAAATATATATCACATTGAATTTAATACAAATTCATTGTCCATACGATATTTGACAATGTTTCAAATCTATTTGAAAAAAAAAAGGAAAAAAAATTCAAATATTCTTCGCATTACGTTTCCTTTATGCTCGGACAATATTTGATCGTACAGTAGCGGATTTAAACGGATTTATTAAACTATCGTTCGAATATATAAAGTATTTACGTACGATTACGAATTTATCCAACGGCATTAATGGCGAATTTGTCATATTTGAGCATAGGAAATTGTAATACATGTGCGCAAGTAAGAAATGAAAAAACTATTTCAATAGTTTACGTTTTGCCTTATTCTTGATTTACGTAATACCAATAACAACGAGACGTAGTGTAATCGCACGAATAAAGTAAACTTTTTTTCGGATTACCAGCTGGGGGGGGAGGGGAAGGCAAGTGGAATATAAGACATTAATAGAGCTGAAACGTAAAATTGAATTAACGTAAGTATGAAACACGAAACGATCCTCCGCTAATTAACCAATCCGAATCCCATCGTCGACCCCATTCTCTTTCGCGCTTTATCAGTTTGACGAGCGATGGTGGCAGACGAGTAACGTTCCGGTTGCCAACAGGTTTGTTCAGTTCGTTGAAGGGAGGCGCTGGCAGCCTCTTGCGCAACATCAAGGACACCTCGTCGAAAGTGATGCAAACGGTACAGCAGAGCATGGCGCGGACGGAGCTCGACGCGAGCTACTTGACCTCCCGTATCCTCGTAATGCCTTATCCGGTGGACGGGATCGAGTCAGCCTACCGGGCCAACCACATCGAGGACGTGCGAGCCTTCCTCATGGCCCGCCACCCTCCCCCAACCAAAATACAATTTTACAATCTGTCGAGGGGTAGGCCGAATGTCACTAGGCTCATCGGTCGCCATATCGATTGCTCATTCGCGTACGTCTCCTCGGAAGCCAACGCTCCGCTCTTGTCGGCGATATACCAGATTTGCCAGGATATCTATCGATATCTCAATGCCGACGTCCATCATGCCGTCGTGATTTACTGTAACGTGAGTAGCATTATTGCAACCTTTGGAAATATTTCTGTACTATATGCTGGGCAATTTGGCAGAAGGGCCATTCGAGTCCGCAGTTTAAAAGCTTCGGGCGCGCATGGCTATCTCTTCCTCTTGCTCTTCTTGTTCTTCTTCTTCTAGTACTTCTTCTTTCTTTTCCTCTTTCTTTTATTTCAATTGGCGATATGCGAATGGGACGTTATCGATAGCCCTATAACGAAATATGTGCTTTGTTGATGGCGAACAGTTACAAAGTAGCGGCGAGTGCAGTTATATTTTGTAAAGGGGTCATGGGCAATCGCGAGAGACCAAATAAACCACTTATTGTGGTTTTTCATTCCGAGTTACGCTATATTGTCGAAGTAGTAGGCGCTTGAATTAAAATCCCTTGGGTTTCCTTAATCAATTGAAAAACAAAAAACAAAAAATTTAAAAGCTAACGTGGTTACATTAATTAAAGTATTTTTAGGATTCCCCCCCCCCCCACTCACCCACCCATTTACTTGATAAAAATCGAATACGACGTAGTTATGAATAATGAAGATCGAGAATTCATTTAACAATTAGGCTGGATATTTATTTTATGTATATACAATCGGTTAAGGCTCTTTAATAAAGAAGTGAGTCCTTGGCAGCTGATTATCATGTGCTTATTTAGAATTAATATTCTATTTAAGTTTATGCATTTTTCTTTTAGCTATCTTTTTAGGTTTACACTTATGGTTATTTCTCATCAATGTAGCTAACATTCTTAATGAGTTAATCGTTTGCATCTCAACAGACTTAATTGTAATTTTGAAAATTAGCATCTCACTCCTGTTCGAAATATATTTCGTTGTGTTTATTTCGAAAAGTTTATCGCTTACTTAAGGTGACAATTTCATTGATAAAAATGTTTATAAATCAATTAATAGATTTTTTTCAAACATAACTAACAATTACGTTAAATTAAATGTAAAATGCTATAAACTTCAGGCTGAAAGATTCCTTTCTATCGGAATAAATAAAGTCTATGTTAAATTGTTATATTATTATTTTTAATGACAATTAGTATTGCTGAAGAATCTATAATACTACAGAATTAAATATATTATAATATTAAATACAATTTACGTTTAAAATCATCGTAAATTTTCAATTGATAATACGTTGACAATTATGTTTATAAAAAACAATGCTACGAGTGTTTATCAATATATCAAGAATAATTCTTATCGAACGATATATACGACGAATGGAAATCTATCGATTAAGGGAGAAGCACAGACAAATTGTCGTTTCTTCTTTGACAATGAGGAAATGTTTAAATTATTTTAAACATTTTATTTAGATTTATTTTTCCTTTTATTTTCAGAAAATAAAGTTAGATAAATGCATGCCTATTTGTTATTGATTCGATCAGCAACGAATTACAAAAGATTACCAACCCTTTTCACATTATTTACTAATTTGTCGATTATTTTTTCTTTTTTTTTTTTTTTTTTTGAATTTTTTTTAATATTTTACACACTTACCTTTACTTACCTTTACATAATTAACTTTAATAAGCTTATAAATCATACTGCATTATATTCATCCCCAATTACGTAGCGGAATATTATTATAGCACAATAGTTTGTCGGATGGATTTGAAATTTTAACGAGGCATTTTCCCTTTCCTTATATCCAGAAAATAGATGTAAAACAAAAATTTGTTTGTCCTGAATTTTTTTACTCTGAAATAATTCATGATTACTGACGAGCCCTGAAAGAAGCATAGGCATTATTCATATTGTGGCAAACGCTGCTAAAAATCAAAGGCCACGATTAAATTATAAATGCAGGGAAGCCACCCCCCCCCCTCTCCCCAAAATCAACAATAGGACAAAAGAATGTTTGTTTGTTAAACCGAGCGCAGGATGGCTTGCGCGCAAGTGCCGTGATATCCTGTTCACTTCTCCTGTACGCGGACGTCCTCAGGACTACGGACGAGGCGATCTCCATGTTCACGACGCGTCGCTGCCAGCCACCGCAGCTTCAGCCCTCCGAGCTGAGGATCATCCGTTACATGGCTTCATTGACGAACGGCAAGTCACCGCACATGAGGCCACTCATTCTCAAATCGCTACTCATTCAGCCGGTGCCGCTCTTCAACAAGGCGAGGGATGGTTGTCGGCCTTACATTGAAATTTACAGCAACGGGGCTATGGTGCGTCTGCTTTGCTTATTTCTTTGCTTTTATGTGTGCACATGAATATTAGAAATCGGGGATTTGTCAAGTTGAATGTAGATTGCCGTGCGTAATATTTGTCTAGTTATCATTCACGGCAATTGCGAATGAGAGTTTTAGGCGAATTCGCTGTTGAATCCTCGGCACTCGTGCAACACAACTTTTATCGTTAGTCATGTGATTCTACAAAATTGCTTGAACCTAAGTAAATTCTCCTTTCCGATCTTTAGGCTCTTATAATTTTCAATTTATTGCAAAAATATGGAAAACACTTAGCTCTTACATACAGTTCAGATTTATAATTGAAAGTGTTATAATATTTGCTTAAAAAATTATTCTATTCAGTTTATGCATTTTAAAAAATTGAATCTTTAAATAAATAATTTGATCTTTAATTTGTTATTTAAATCGCACGATGATGAATGCACTTGCAAAGATCGATAGCACTTACGGGTTACCTGCGATCGTACTGATTGTCAAACCCTTATCGATTTATGATTGGCAACTGTCATAGTTACTCTGAGTGCGAGACCTCGAATGTACGTAAAATAAATTAACCAATCGATTTATATATAAAGTAATAATATTAATAGCTGAAATTTAATTTGAAATTGTTTTATTAATCAACGTGTTATGTAAGAACTGCATATAATGGCTTTGTTTGTTTTTAATATTATTTATTAGTCAGAGGATCGGTAGTTTCTCTATAAAGTATCTTATACATCATAAACAAATATTACGAGGATCAATTATTAATACATTAATTAAAATAAATAAAATTTTATCGATTCATTTATTGATTTATAATAAAAATAGTGTTTGTCTTTAAATTGATGCATTCTAATAAATAAAAATGTGGTTAAGTAATGCAACCAACATGAGTAAAAGTTCTATTATCTATTGCTATAATTTGTAACGGAAAAATTCTTTTGTTAATTAGTCTCTCTCTCTCTCTCTCTCTCTCTCTCTCTCTCTCTCTCTCTTCCTCTCTTTATTGGAATTTTTCGTTCTCGTTCACGTTTTGTTACGAACGTAAAATGCATTTGCACGCCCTTCGTTTGTCGTTTGGCTTACCTGTTACGCCTTAACATTCCCGTGTAAGATGTATTGAACCGAGAAAAGGATGAGAGATATTACGCAGCACAATAAAATGAACATTAAAGATATGGATTAAGTGGAACCAAATGTAATCATTTATCGTAACGTGCATGAGAGAATAAATTAAATTGAATTATGCGCGCAATTACGACATGTTTATTCTCTGATAAATGCACACGCATTTATCGGTAATAAAACACAACGAACGAGATAGACGTTGGAAAATAAATTAGCAAGTGGACTTATTTCTTGCTTACCATTGTCTCTCGTTTCTTCTCGTTTTATTTATTTTTTCACGTTCATTATTTTTAATTTTCGAATATAACAATCAGAATATTGCGTGAAAATTTTTTTCTTGCCTCCATGTCCTTTTTGTCGGACGTATACGCGCTACAAGAGCAACGCGACGTTAACAAAACAACAGCATCTCGTTAAAAGTTACAATGTTTCGTTAATTTAATCGTGCATCCTCGTATATGTTATTTAACGTGAAATATGCAATATTTTGAGTCGATGAATTAATTAATTAAATTATTTTTTAAACCTCTAATTCGTTTACAATTAAACAAATTTATTAAAGAGAATTTTAAAGCAAAGAATTTTTTTTTCTGAATATACAAAAATCTATAAATTTCCAGTAAGGTGTGCAACATTAAACAAAGTTAAGTAATTATTAATGAAGCGTTGGAACAAATTTTTACCAATGGATGTAGTCATAAAATTTCGAATACACTCATAGCTACGCACGATTTTAAAAACAATAATAATATATAATGAGATATGATTGCATTTACTCTTAATTTTTTATAAGTCAACTGTACATAATATTACATTCTGCTGTGCATTGCTGTTAACTATTTTTACAAAAATAATATCTTACTACAGAAATATACCAGTTATTATAATATTCTGATCATTGTCATACTGACAATTGTCATACTTGTAATAGTTTTCAAGTGTGGATTGGAGAAAGCTATAATTACAGTGAAAATACCATAGATTTTTCACTAAAATTTTACCTTATAAATCACACTACAATAGTTTATATTATAATATACGGCTCAACATGATACTTTGATTGAGTAATAAAAAAATTTTTTTTCAATAATTACTAATGCGAAATATCTAATTCCGATGCTGGAAAATTGAATCAAGTAGCTTTTATACTTTTTAAAATATTCATTGTAAAGATTATCTTATGTTATTTATTGCGATTAAATGCAATCGTTTTACATTTGAAAGTACATGCATAGTACGATGTAAAATAGTATCAGGAAGTTTTTCATCGAATTAAGCGAATCTCTTTGATCATAAATAATCTCTTTGAAGTTTCATAACCCATTGTTGTATTGTTGTTTGTATCGTCCAATTTGTATTTATTACATTTTACCTTATAAATTTACGTATTAGATAATAAACTTACCAAATGCTGTTTATTCATTTAAAGTATCATTTTCATTATTTATTTTATTTACCTTCTACGAACATTCAGTATGGTTTGCTTAATTTTAATGAAATACCATTTTTCTTTATAATAATAATAAAGTTGAAGCTACTTAAATAAATCCATTGTTTCGTTGCTGCTTTTTATTAATGCATATACATAAAATGATCTCAATCTCAATTTGAGAAACGCAAATACCGTATAAACTGTATAAAAAACTCAATAATACCCCGAATAACTGATATTATTTTTATTAAATTACGGAGAAGAAAGTTATATATCGTAATAGATAAGCTTGTTAAAATTTATCCATAAGAACAACTTTTTTAATTGATTTGAGTTTGTCGCTTGGAATACAAATAAAAAATATTTACCATATAAATTATTGTCATTCATAAGAACATATTTCGCATTATTGTGCGTATGATTATTTCGACATAATTGTTAAAGTTTACGAGTGCCGAGTGCCGTCGCAAAATTGTCCTTATAATTTAAAAATTAATGGTCAGTTTTGAACAGTTTACCGATGCCACTTGGATAGAACGAGGATAATTATTAATTTATTAATTCGTTCTAGGTATTCTCAACGAAGCGAGCCGAGTACGAGGAGATGAATCTTTACAGCATGATGAAGGGGAAGGTCTGCTTGATCTTGGGTGACGCCACCGTCCGGGGCGACATTACGATGGTCGTGTACCACGCGCGTCAGCAGCTCGGCCGGGTAATCGGCATCAAGATGGCCGCACTTCATTTTCATACTGGTTACGTACCCATAATCAACAGCACCATCACCTTCGGCAAACAAGACCTGGACGATACACCGGAAATCGGCGGCAATTTCAAAATCACGGTCAATGCGATGATCGGCGAGGATTCGGCCAAATTTTTGAGGGTGCCGGCGCCCTGGGAGACCGAGGCCAATGATCCGAAGCCGATACCCGATCCCTTATTCGGCTCGACTTTGGAGATGGAGGAGACGCTCGAGAATTTTAGAACTGAAAATTTTAACAATCAGGTAAGGCTTTCTTCTCCCAATCCCTTCAATTCAATCTTTGGCCTAATATTTTTTTCTTGTTTAATTGCACTATACATTCTATTCGAATCCCCTTCAATTTTCGTATATATAATTTCTTTGTCATCCATTTAAATGATAAAAACGACGATATTTTTGATTGCTTCTTTCCCATCTATTCAAAATCGCCAACTATTTTGTCTTTTATTGGTCTTATTATTGCTGTTCTCCAATGATTGAAATTTGTAATTATGTAAGGCAATTACGTAATTTGTTATTTAAATCGTACGATGATGAATGTACTTGCAAAGATCGATAGCACTTACGGGTTACCTGCGATCGTACTGATTGTCAAACCCTTATCGATTTATGATTGGCAACTGTCATAGTTACTCTGAGCACGATTTATCTATATTTTTTATTTTAATATTTCTGTTGCGCAACGTGAGTAAATATCAAATTTAGTCCAATACTAATGTACCAATTATGTTCCATAGATTCCCGAAGAGACGATCTCGGATCCAATGACCATACCTTTGGTGAAGCAGAGCATAGTCGATCCGGATATCGAGTGTAATGACACTCGGAAAGTCTCGGAGAACTCGTCGAGTGCGACCGAGGCCGATCTGCTTAATCTCGGAATGCCGAGCAGCGAATGTGCCGAGGAGAAGCCGTCGCTGAGTCCGAGTCTCGATATATTTGCATCGAGTCCTAGCCACTCCGAGTCCGACGTCGGTAATGCGGATCTCCTGGGCGGTTTTGGGCCTTTCACCCAGGCAGCGCCACCCCCACCATCCACGACCCCGACCGTTAATGAAATACCGGCGAGTGATTTGCTATTCGGACAGACGAGCGACACTCAGGACGATATGGGAGATCTGTTATTCGGCCAAGGAGGTCAAACCGCTCCCAGATCAACGTCCGTCGCTGAAAACATGATGTTCGATCCGTTTGGTACTAATGTCAAGAACAATCTCTTAGGTATCTTGTAATTCTGCCTTGTATTTGCTGTAATTCCATTGAATCGCACAATAATGTAATCGATAGGGCGTTTAATCGTCGTTAAAATATTGATTCGCTTAAATATTTCAATGTCATTGTTAAAATTTCGTTGTTTTTTTTATTTTTATTTTATTTTTTTTTTTTTTCTTTTCCTTTTTTTATTTTTTTTTTTTTTTTAAGGTAACTGGTCTCAGACAAATAAAACGGCGAAAACTCCAACCGGTGACGAAGGTTTTCCCCGAAATGCAAGCGTACCGAATTTCGCCGCACAAAAACAAGATCCATTCGCAAATTTTGCTGGAGTGATGGGAGCTGGCTTAACGTCTAGTTGGAACGGCACACCAAAAGAATGTAACACTCCACAATCATCGAGCCCAGCTACTGGCAGTAAATATTCCCTTACAAAAATAATACCTTACAATGCTTACAATACTTTTATATATTTTAGTTAAAATATAATACAAAATCCATGTACCATTATTTACATAATTATGTAGAAAAACATTTCTCCTTGAATGTTCTGTGCAATGGCTTTTGGCATTAATCATGCAAATTTATCAATTATAATTTTTAAAATATTGTCAAATTTAGTTTTGTCATATTCGTTATTGTAGAGCTGTGCGTTAAAATGTAAGAAATAAAATCATTAAAAGAAATTTTTTAATTATTCTGGGTTATGAGGAATTATCTTAAATAAATTGAATATATACTAAAGAAGTAATTTTAATGTATAATAAATGCGTTACTTATAACAAATCCGTTACTTATGTAATTAGCGTAAAATTAAAGTTATATATATATATATATATATATATATATATATATATATATATATACTAGATCTTTCACTTAATACATAACGTATGCATGAAATTTTCGAAATGGAAATGTGATATATAAAATTCTTAAGAGCGAGATTTGATTTCAGGTACGCCGGTCCATACTAGTCCTCGTCTGAATAAGCCCATTACGCCTCTCAATGAAGCAGCGCCTTCAACCACTCAAATTGGACAGGATTCTTGTAATAATAAGACAGCAAAATCTGGAGACGCATTCGAGGATTTGCTGGGTAGTCAAGGATATAACTTTTTTAGCTCGCGCAAGGCTGAGAAGGATAGCCCAAAAACAATAAATCAGATGCGTAAAGTCGAGGCGGCGAAGACAATGGATCCAGATACACTGAAGGTCACTGAGTGGACCGAGGGCAAAAAGGGTAATCTAAGGGCACTACTCTGCTCAATGCACACGATATTGTGGGATGGAGTCAAATGGCAAAAGTGTGAGATGCATATGCTAGTCTCGCCAGCGGATGTGAAAAAATCATATAGGAAAGCTTGTCTTGCCGTTCATCCAGATAAGGTAAAATTATTTCCTCTATAGCTGACTCTTTGACGAACTACGTTTATTGTGCCATATATATTTTATAATTAGAGAGTTTCGAATACAGCTGCAGTATTTTCTGATTTCGACAATAATTATTCATGTTTTTTTTATGTTAACATAGAAAATGTAACATAGAATTGCCATTATTTCGTCAATTAAATTGATAAATGTCTTTAAGTAAAATTATAGAGCGAGTCAATGCTGTAAAAATGAATAGATCAGTTATTATAAGTGGAATTGAATTAAAATTTAAACAAATGGCATTAATTAATTATTGAAAAATGTGGACAATTGGTTGGATTCATATAAAGTCTTGTAAACGTAAAAATTTAGTTATCAAATAGAATATTCGTTTGATAATAAATTTTTCATTGCAGCAAGCTGGAACGTCGAATGAGAATATGGCAAAATTAATATTTATGGAGTTGAACAATGCCTGGAGTACCTTCGAAAACGATGCAACGCAGCAAAATTTATTTAGCTAATTATGAGAAATCGTTACTTGTTCTAAAGTATAGCGATTTAAAAGTATCTTATTTACATAAAAAGTCCTGTCCTTAGCAGTCGACGGTTAATCAAATCGACGCTGTTGTCGCTGTGTCGTCGTACTACATGTAAGATAAAGTATGGAAGAAGAAATTATGTTCATTTAACATTACGTTTGAGTTATGGCTATTGAAACATACATAGAGTTCTTGAATAGAATTGGTGGAAACTGACGCTGGTTGTTCTATTAAAAGGCTTTTGGTAGTTCATTTTATATTCTATTTTATCGGCACTTGGATTTGCAATAGGCATTAAATTCAAATAATTGCTCATTATGCGTATACAACGACAAGATTGTAAAATTGTTAAGAAATCCATCGTTATCATTATTTTTAATACATTTCCTTCAATACAATTAATTAAAGAAGATATTTTAATTCATATAGATTTTGATTGCGTACATTATTATCTGAGGTTTATATTCCATATAATTTATCATTAGTTTCTATGATTTTTCAAAGTTCTTAAATTAGAATAATTTTTTTTTACTATATTAAAACAATAATTTATTTTAAATGATCATTATTAATTTTGGAAGACTGTTTCTTTCTCAATTTGGCATAATGTCTCTGTAGGAAGACCAGTTTATTTTAATTTGTATAGTCACAAACTTTTAAAAAAAAATTTTTAATCTATTTTTTATTGATTTCTGACTGATTTTTCCATTATTATTAATAGGCTTCTAAATTCTTGTATCTTCTAAATCCTTAAAAATAAAAATCAATAGCATTTTAATTCTATATTTTTATTATTAATGAGAGATGCAATGGATTATTCTTGTTAAGACATAATAGTGTTAAATAGAAATTATCGTACTCGCTTAGATATTTAGTCTTGCATTTTTTGGTGGTTATATTTAAAACATTTTAATCACATATTTTAGAACTAATGTTACATCAGTTTTGTAGTTATGTTGATTACTCTACCTTCTATTGATAATCCCAATTAATTTTATGGGATTCACAATGATTTGTTATTATTGATACGTGTAATAATAATAATGCATTCCATTATTCTAGGTATAGGAATTGTTTAATTTATTTACTCTCGATAGTTTCGTATAAATCATTGTATTGTATGATATTTTCGTAATAATCGATTTTAGCATTTTACATTTTCTTTCATTTAACTTGTAACTTATCAATAATTATGTCTGCGCTGTGTTAGTCTATCACTGATGAGCTTATTTATTAACTTTTTGGTGATGTCAGTAAATTAATTGTCTGTTACACACTAATAAAAATTTATTTAGATATAATAAATAAAATATAAAATGCAATACGTGCAGTTATATTAAATAAAGTAGGCGATAAAATGATATTTAAAGAATTGTAATTGTGTATGGAGAATAATCTTGAAGAAGTATATATCTGTATCATTGAATTTTCTGAATTCTATTGGAGTAAGCTATAAATGATTTTCTAGTCCCATTCTGTAAATAAATGACTGACAAAATACGATCGACATGATATATTTTATACAACATTAGAATTATGGCAAAACATAAATTCTGTGAATCTGTTTGTAAATAGTCTAGTCTTAGCCGTATTCCAAAGATAGAGATAAATTTATTCTTATTATCGTAATAAATTCTTGTATACGAATTTGGAACTCATTTAATTAAAAATGATGATACATCGTATATATGAAAAAAATATAAGTAATCAGTAATTAAAATATTCTCACCTGATCGTTTGTGTCGGGACTTATTTTATTGTATAAATATGAACATAATGGCTGATGAAAAATGTATAAAAATTAGATGCATAGCAAATATATGATAATATTGATATTTTTGGTTCATGCGGTAACGTTATGATATTTGAGATTAAGGAAATTGATTATACAGATTGTAGAGTTCGTTTCCTAGATTAAATATAGCTTTAAGCTAATTGAATATAGCTTTTTTCGATTGGTAATGTCTCAAATATTTCACGACAGTCTTTTCATAATCCACTCTCTTGTTGAGTGAGTGAGATACAAGTTACAAAATGTTATCAAAGTCAATTCTGATAATTAGTTTCATTAGTATTATATGAAATGTTAAATTACTTTATATATAAGAGGATCGTTATGGCTTTGATCATTAGTTCTTCGTGTTTGCTGAGAAGTACTTCGAGGATAATGTGTTTCGAACGTGATTGATTATATTTTACCGGCTTCTCAACCAATCAATTTTCGTATTTTAAAGTTTGTAATTAATTGTTCTCCTTTTTTTTCTGTTTTTCTTTTTTTCTTTTTTTTTCTTTTTTTTCTTTTTTTTTTGTCTCATCTCAATTGAGACCGGGACAATCAAACATAGCACCGAACATACTCTTAAAATCGTCTTGTACTTAACTGAGATGATATAACGTTTTATTTAATAATGAATATTCATCGTCCGACTGACAATTTATTATCCTCTTTCAAATAAAAAGAGAAAGACCTACTTGCTAATGTACCCAACTCTCTCATAAAAGAAAATCAATGTTTCTTTAGCAAATAAAAATAAATAAAGTTTTTTCTGTTTCTTAATGGAATTGAAGTAATGATTACCAGTTGTTGTTTGCCTTGAAAATGCCTTCTCGTTGTTATTGGTGTAATATAATAATTATATAGTCTATCTTCGATGCTAATGTTATTAAAGCACTAAGTAATCATTACACTTTAGTACCCTCTCAAGTTTAAGGAATATCTTTGTCTTAATCCTTATCTATCCGAAACACACTCGACCATTTCCCACATTTTATTCAATATATGTAATAATACGTTTATGGGAATTTAAAATTTTCTATTGCTTGCGATTATGCTCAACTGTTAATACAAAATTTTCCCCGCCCACTTCTACTTAATACTCGATATCGAAATTGAACAGTGTTAAAAAAATATTTATCTTTTTACTGAAAATATGCTGTATTCATTAACTGTTTGCTTATGCAGTAAAATCGTAGATAATAATTTAGAATACTTTGGATATTACCATGGAATGACCATAATTAGGCCGTATGATAAAGTATGACGTCACCGCTGTATATATCGAAGTTACCAATTGATTCACTAGTTCTAAACAAGTCATTAGCTTTTGATTAGATTAATATATCCAAGTAACTTTACGATATTACGATACTAACGGTAATAAACAATGTCTTTTTTTTCTTACTTCGTTTTTTTTTTTTTTTTTTTATTGCAGCGTATACTAAAAATTACCTATTAAATGCAATGGCCCTCTCGTATATCCCATTAGTTATAATAATTTTTTTTCTCCCTTCGAATGTTTGTTTTATCCATTGCCATTATCTCTGTAAGGAAATATTTATTTATTGGCCAGTTGGCTGTTGCTCTATCAATACGATGTATAATCGATAGTTGAATCGAATCCTTAAAGTTAAAAAAGTATTTTATCAAACAAATTCTTTTAATATTTAACGAAATCAAATAAATGCTGTAAAAATAAAGTAAAATAAAATAAAAATGTAGGCTTAGTTTAGTTCTAGCCATGTCGAATTAAAATAAATAAAAAAAATTGCCATTTAAATATTTGCCAAGCAGACGAATGCAAGGATAATTGTAAAAAGCTTTAGCGTAATACTTACAATTTATGAGATGTAACGGCATCGTGCTACAAACAACGGAAGACGATTATCTTTGTTGACAATATAAGAGAATTTATTCTTGAAAATTAATAACAAAATAATAAGATATAAGTAGTGGATGATAAAACAGTAATAAATTCAATATTTCCTTCTGCCGCTTTCAGCTAGATCTAGCGTATAAAATCTATTTAATGTTTAGTGATGAGGAGTCAGCATTTGAGTGATTTAATTGACTGATATACAATATTTCACAGCTTTTTCTCTAGAATGTACGTCGAAACTAGTGGCGCGACGCGTTAGCAAAAGTCATTAACCTTCTAAGTCGTATGTATTTATGATACTAAATCACCCATCTTTGGTATATGGCTAAAGCTATAATGGCTAAAGCTACATAGCTTATATATCAATAGTGTCCTCGTATAATATTTTATTGACAATTAAAAATATTTGAAACCGTGAATGTTAGCCTTGGTATAAAGTAACAATTACCGTAGGCATCCTTGAAATCTCGTCGATCGGAACATCCCTCAATTATTTTATATGTGCGCTCCACAAAGTTTTCATTTACAATGTGATTAAACTATAATGAAAATTTGAGAATCTCCGAGAAGTTACAATTAAGCCGTTATAGATAATATTTACTTTTAAGTTTTCATCATTAGAAATGTTAAAGCAATCCCGGAATTTTTAATCAAAAAAACCATCATCGACGTCATTTAGTAAGGATAACGAAGAATTATCGAAGAATTATTGAAGAATATGACAGTGTGCAATTTTGTTAATCGCCGTTTACTCTTTACGCAGATCGTTACGTTTTTTCAACGTATTTTAGTCTTGTCCACGATTACATTTATGCATATAAAATTAATGAAATTGCTTGATTGACAAAAAAAAGTGCCACGAATATTGTGATTGAAATTTACTTAACTATCGATAAATAAACTTGGAATTGAATAAATTTTTTTTTTTTTTTTTTTTTTTTTTTTTTTTTTTTTTTTACAAGTTTCAATATCTTTTCAATATTTTCTAGCTTTATACAAACACTTTACAACGATAACTCATTAATTTACAATCATTACATATTTCTAAGACAATTATAATAATCAACTATACAATGACGAGATACTAAAGATAATATAAATATTGCGAATATAGATAACAATTATTTTTATGAAATATATGATTTATAGAGTGTTCTTGTTTAAATAATATTATTAAAGATTGCATTGTTCGATGGAAAAGATCTTCAATGTTTCGTGATAGTTATTCAGATCATAAAGTGGTGCGTACTATAAAATCTCTATCAATTATCATATAAACGCTGTAGATATATTATTATTGTTTATTTTGTTTGAAAATACCACTTAAAATTGAATAAAAATAAATTTGTTAACGAATAAGATTGCAGAACTGTTGGTAATATTCGATTATAATTTCTTGAGCTTCTGTCTTAAAAATTTAAACGAGTGATTATCAATGTATAAGTATTAGATTATATTAGAGATTATTTAGAGTAAAAAGTGAAATAAAAGTTTGATCGAACATATTTTTTTATTTGACTTATAT